GGGGGGGGGGCTTGGAGAAAGGCCAATTATAATAAGGGTTCTACACCGTCTAATCCAATGTCTTTGGTGCTCGGAAGCTCTCGAAGCATCTCCAACCTTTCTGAGTATAGTTTCGTCAGCAAGTTACAGGTACCGCTGACGAGCTTACTGACGTTGAATCTGACGCTCAGTCTGCAGAGCGTCAGAAGGGCGTCCGCAGAAGTAAGTTGGACAAGGCTAACCCTGCCTTGTTAGTCCGTCAGGTTGCTGCAGCTAAAGAGATGTCATAGCTTTCCAAAGAACGTGTCAATGTCGTACAATAACAAGTCGAACTAAACTATTCTCAATTCAAGCTAATTCAGACGATACTACTATGTGTGAGTATTTGAATTTAAAACACCGGCGAGTGTTAAACAGAATACGCTCTGAGATGAATCGCATCCAAGAAAACCGGCACAGCCCTTCAATTCGTTCCGGCTAACTCGGCATCAGCTCAAGAGACTGTAGAACTGACTCCAAACGATCAAAACCTTCCGGGCATTGCTGAACAAGCACTTATTTGACTATGAAAACGTAAGGAATTATAACATTCATTTAGTAGGCAGATCTAATTAATCTATATGCATACTATCTCCTTCAAGAAGTTAATTAATCTGTATTGCTTCATTATGCTTCGCCGTGAAGGTACCGCAGCTCATTAATCAGATCTCTATGAAGTTGAAAATGGTTCGCCGTATTTTGCATTAAATGTGTTAGTGCACGCAAGATCAGCAAATAATGCTGCTCGCAAACTTGCATCAGCCCTGTGGGCGGTTATAGGAGAGTAATCATCGAGTTGATTCTCTGGATCCTTGATGTCCATCTTGTCTTCCATTATCATCTTATGTAGAACAACTGTAGCCATCGCTTCGGCAGACCACAGTCGGAAAGGAGCCGCGAGAATGCGCCAGCGAGCGTGCAAAAGGCCAAAACACCATTCACGTGACAGCCTTCTTGACATATTACAAAGTGACGCTCTTTTGTGTCGACTGGATGGCAGATGGCTTACTACTGCACTTTTTTCTTCATCTTCATCTAGAAGGTCCAGAACTCACTTTCCGGAGTAATATTGAGCGGTGTTCACCGTGCAGTCGCTCTTCAACTTTGTAGAATCGCCGATTGTTCAGGCTTACTGCTGCGATTCGCAGTTGCTCAGTCGTTTCTAAATATCATCCAGAAATTTATTTCCCTATAAATTGAATGCAATTTGTCACTGTCATTGACATTGCTCTGATTAGACGAACCCATTTGATCAGTAATCCTATATGCGCTGTAAACCAAGTTGCACACCGATCAATTGTTAAATAGTGCATTGTTTATACCAGATCGGTATGTATCTAGCTTAATCACTCACACTCTCAAATTGGTTAAGTGGGTTGGTAGCTTGAGGAAATCAACATTGTGAAGGAAGTATTATTGAAGATGCTGTTACCTGTACTTTGCTCGCGCTACGTTAGCTTCAGTGAGCGCTAATATGAACATATTTTGCTACTGAACGCAACCACAATATTTACGTACCAAAAGTACGCACGTCTCGCTCGCATGGTATGTTGAAAAGAGCCAGTCAGGTCGTGCGTCATGCAGCTGCTTGGACCTGCGGTGGATACAAACCATTGTGTGGCTCTGAGGAGTGGATAGAGAAAATAGGAAGATGTAACAGAACCAATGCCATTCCCTCTTTTGCATTATCAAGCATAAGCGCGTGGTTGATCTAAACGATCAACGTCCAACATGTCTTGAGCCCAATGGCGCCACTGCCAATGTCGGTAAAGCTCGTGATGGAGCTGCACCGCCAACGCCGGCGCTGATGCTAGTCACGAAAGGGCTGAGATGGCGGATGGTGCCGAAGAGACGAGCACAGCCATCGTTATCAAGAGGGCTGGTGCCAACAACCTCGAAGGTGGTGCAGCGACTGACGAGGACAAAGAACCCGCTACGATTACAAGAATGCTAACACTAATGGAAGGCTTAGAAGGGTCGCTTAAGAGCCGCATGGAGTCGCAGGCAAAGGCGGGCGAAGGGTCCGAGGGCGGCGACAGGCGTTCGCGCAACATCGATCGCCCGATGACACCCCCTACGATCTCCAGTTTGTTGCGTCCGACTTGGAATAAGGCGAAAGGATGCATCTCGACTCTTTGGTTGGTAAAATAGTACGCCGATCATGGCGATTCCGGGAAGATCGGTGGAATCACCACAGTACTGTGGACAATAGCAGCCGGGATATGGGTTACAGGTGTCCGAACTGCCGCGGGTGTATGCGGCAGTGCAAGCAGTGGAAGACGTCAAGGTGGACTACTTGGGACATTATCTGTCCGGCTCTGCAGAGCGATAGTACAGTAAGCAAGTTGAATCTTGGTGAAACCAACTTCCTACACTACAATACGAGACGGAAAAGATGCTTGAAGTATTTAAGACGAACATCACACAGGCACAGGCGATGTGGCTGTTTAGGGCTTTGAAAGAGAGTCAGAGAACATGGCAGGTACTACAAGTATTTGGTAGTTGTGGCTGAGGCGTGCAGGTGGTCTGCGGACTATTTAACCCCTAACAATATCGCGCAGTAGGAGTCTTCTGAACTACCAACGATACTCATAGAGGATCCAGTAGGCATCTTGTAAGGGACAAGTCGTGGTTAGTAGATATGGTGGCGTGCGGCGACCTGTGTCTGCATTCAAATGGAATGTGGTGAGGGCGGTCTCGTCGTCATTGCGTATGCCTGCTTGCGGCAAAGCACACACTGTGAAGCTCACAGATGTATATTGCGCTGCGGACGTTGAGCATAATCAGATTTCGAATTGCAAGTTCGACAAAAGGCTTCATGTTGGCATACAAAGACGGCAAGCGTGCGGTCGCCACCAAGACGGACGGGTCGGTGGCGTTCGATGTTGAACTGCATAGGAATGTGTTGGAAGGTCGTCTTTGCAGCCCTGGACGAGAAAGCCAACACGTCCTCGGACGTGGCGAGTGCAGTGCAAAAGGGCACCCTCCTGAATTTCCACAAGTGCCTAGGGCACCTCAATTTCGACGCGGTAAAGCGTCTAGCACGCGATCGGAGCTCATGCATCGAGCGGATCGTTCACAAGAATGTGAATCGCTTGATCAGTGCTCAAGGTAAGAAGACTAAGAAGAAGCAGTCGTCTAAGGGCACGGGAGAGCACTCTAGATCACAGCAAGATTGGCTCAAAAACCGCTATATGACCACCCTCGTTGATCAAAAAAGCAATTACTGAAGGGTCTTTCCAGCGAGGACCAAGGCCATGGCCGAGGAGCTGCAGGCTCTCCAGGCCAACGAGGTGTGGGAAGTGGTTAAAATGCCGCGTGGTGTGCACATGTTGCACACCAAGTGGGTGCACAAGACAAAGCTGGGCGCTGAGAGTCTCATAGAGCAATAGAAGGCGCGTCTGGTGGCGAATGAAATGAGCAAGAACTTGAGGTAAATTATGCGATCATCTTAGCCGCTATGATCGAAATGTCCAGCGTTAAGTTGATGCTGGTCCAAGCGAGAAAATGGAGGGTGCCGGCAAAGCACGGTGCCGTCCAAAATGTCTCTGTGAAGGCGGATAAGATGCCAAACTCGACATCTTTGTCCAAATTTCGCAGGGCATTGAGATTCCTGAGAATATTTTGAGGGCAATCGGTGTCAAGATCAAGGAAAAACTTGTCCTGGAACCGAAGAAGCACTGTACGGCCTTAAGAAGGCTGGGAGGGTTGGGAGCAAGCTCTTGTACCACAAACTGGTCGAGATAGGCTTTGTCCAGAGCCTCGTCAAAATGTGTCTATACATTCGAATGTGAGCTTGTGTTCTCGTCGCTGTAGGCGTGTATGTGGATGACCTTTTGGTCACCAGAACTGAGCAAAATGCTGTAGATCCGTTCTTCGGTGAGCCCGCGCCACTCTCGATCAAGAACCTGGACTTGCACACAAGTTCTAGGGATACGTGTGGCGTAGGACGCCACAATGTGCCCGGTGGTCGGTGCCGGTAACGTGGTGACTGTCGCGAAGTTCTAGTTGGTCGTAGAAAACTTGCTATGGATAGCAAGGTGTACAAACCCGGCCATTGCGTTCGACATGAACAAGATATTATGGCGCACGCACGAGCCGACGACGTTGCCGCCGCTTCACAGTCCCCACGCCAAAGTCTTTCGTATCCGAATACGCGTATACCTGCATTGCATTTCAACAGATTACACTCTGGCTCTTTCCGAGTCGGGCTTGATCGGAGTACCGATCGCACGAGATCCAGAATCTCTGCCTGCAGGACAGGCCAAAGAAATAATTAATATCGATGAACAATGGTCTTCACATCTGAACACATACCTTTGATGACTGAACGCGGATAGCTCTTATCTTTGACGGGAGATCAGTCTGCATCGCAACCCGGAACTTCGTTGGCATTGACAGCGTAAAATCAATGGTATGGACCCAAGTTAGTGCTTTTTGCGCCAGTTTAAGCGTTTCCATTGCAACATTCCATTGGTTCATGGCAGACACGGTGTCCATTGAATATACTCCAATTCCAGGAATATCAACGACTGCGTCGCTTTCTTTGAGACCCTTCCACGTTTTCTGCATTGCTACAACCTTTCGCGTGCAAGCTTTAAGGTGGTCGGGTCGTAGCATTCGAGTTATAGATTCTGGTGCGATTGTTTGCTTTGTTGGTGGCAGATCCGACTTCCTGTATGCTGTTGGGGCCTTGAATTTGAACGCATAGGCAACTGTTTTGAAACGTTAGAGAATGTCGTACGAGGATTCATAAGTCACGTCGCCCGTTAGAACCAACTGAACTGAAGTGAGACTTAAGTTTTCTGCGTACAGGTCCGAGTCTTCATGTGCTGATGCGGCCGCTTTCTTTCGCTGGGCCTTCTTTTCTTTAGTGCTTGTTTTTGGTCTGTCATGAGAACGAGGTGGACTGTCAATTACGAAAGATGTGACAGCTCCAGCGGGCTCCAACATATTGTTCATGCTGCTTGTTCCCTCATGAGCACAAACGGTGGTGTCCTCAAGGACACAACCACCAACGAAGTCCACAAATACGGCCGACTGCCCCGACTGCCCCAACTACCCCGACTGGCCCGACTGGCCTTCTGTAACCGATTGGGCTTGTTCGTGCGGATCTGACACATCACATTCAAATGGTGCCGAGTCTAAAACAGTACTGGTCCACCTCAGTCTTCGCGTAGACAAGCAAGCTCATTATTCCACCGAGTAGTTCCTTTTGTGCCGAGGAAAATCCATAATCACTTGAAGCGATCTCTTCCCGTAGATATTTGAGTACGTGGAATTGACAGAGAAGGATGGTAACGTCTGGAAATGCCGCCTTTAACACCGAAAGCTCGGTGAAGTCCTTCACACATTTCAACCGTTTCTAAGCTGAATTATTCGTCTCGAACTCCTCCAGCGTCGTGAGTAGTGTATGGTATTGTTCATTCTGGAGCGGAGCGTGCTGCACGAACTGTCCCTTTTGGAAAGTATCATGTGCCATTAGAGAAAACACCTTGTACTTGGATTTGTTTGTACCATGAGTAGCGTCCATCAGTAGGACCTCTGGGAACTGTTCAAATATCTGTCGCATATGCTTCGTTTGCAGGGTAATGCACGTAGCAACTTTCTGCTCATATACGATTTAGTGTTAGAAAAAATATGAGTGGTAAAACTATCGTACCTACTGATTAATGTCATCCACGAAAATCCTGCCACCTTTTCCGGGGGTGTCTCCAAATTGCTTCATCCACTTTTTCAACCTCTTCTCAGCCGTGCTGGGTCCATCTCGTGCATCACGCTCCTTCAACTTGCGCACTAGGTTGCGGACATCTTGAGAAGTGGGGTTGCTCTCGGAATTGTCCTTGATGAAATGCAAAATGCTAGTTTCTTAACCCCTCTTTTTCGTAGTTCGTTCAGCGTACGCATGGACTCTTCCTCAAGAACGACCCGATTAGATGGATGAGATTTGAATGACTGGACGTTGAGCCGATGGTTGTGCTCCAGCTGACAGCGGGTAACTTTGATAGCAAACGTGTTCGTCGCAGTATCCACGACTTGCACGCAGGTATTTATCTGCATTCATATAGCTCGAGTTAGTATGTTCAGCCCATGAATATGTACCCTTCCACACTGAGCCCCACTGAACCCGACTGACCCTGATCGATAGTAAGCATACCTGAGCTTTGCATCCCTTCGACCGCGTCTCCTAGTGTGGCCTCTTACCAGATCCTTTGGTCTTGTATGTACCATAATGTGTGCAGACAAACATACGCGCGTACTGGACCCACTCTTCAGGAATTTTTACAGCCGTTGACTGATTCTTGTCGATACGCGAGTTGCGCTCAGCCACGGTAGTATTTGACCTACAGCGATCATGTCAAATCAAAATACCTCGCATTAGAAACCAATAGCAAGCACAGCACGCCATAGTACTATAAGCTGAGATTACCTGAAACGTCTTGTGCTGGTATGCGGCAAAGAATTCATCAAACTCCTGCCACGTGGAAAATTGTAGCTGCTCTGGAGATGCAGCTAGCACATTGCACGATCCACCACACTCGCTCTTACTGCTCGTCGATTCGTGTACTTCGGGTCAGCTCACAGATTCTCTCGACTCATTCCCACCACTGGCGCTCGGTGAAGACTGCCAGACATCGCCCTGGGATGCCTCAAATAACGAGCTATCGCCGCCTTCGTCGACACACACAGGAAGGGGGCGCTTGGGAGCAGCGCGCACCCGCACGTCCATCGATTTCTCTTATTTCCCCCCCCGTCAAGATTTGTGGCTGACAGCCAGCACTAGCTTCAGCGGTATACCCGCATACGCCGCCGCTACGGATGCAACAGATCGGAGAGGATTTGTAGGGGAAGGGTTACAGTCGGGCAAAATACTCACTTCCTAAGAACAAAATTGAAGATCGTAAGGAGTCGCGCAACTCGACGATGGGGAGTGTTAAAAAGAGCCAGTCAGGGAGCTAGTAGCAGCGTCTCGTACGTCGTGCAGCTGCTTGGACCTCAGCGCTGGACATGCAGTGGATACAAACCACTGTATGGCTCTGAGGAATGGATAAAAAGATAAGAAGAGATAACAGAACAAATGCTACTCCCTCTTTTGCATTATCAAGCATAAGCGCGTGGCCGATCTAAGCGACCAACAACCAACATAGTATTGGTACCCAGTCGATTCTTCCAAGTTATCATGGAGATGAAGAAAACGCTGCACCAGGCGGAGTCAGAATTGAAAATGGTATGAAAATTTTTGTCACTTGAACGCCACTAAAATTGCCAGACATCTCCCAAAATATCGCTCCGGTCACAACTGGATAGATGACCATATTGACTCTCTACTGTATTGTGCCACCAAGGTCAGCGGTCGATGGCGGCTGACATTGCTAGCATATGGAGGGTGTACCGCGGTTTGCATTGTATGTAGAAGTGCCCCTAGGGCCCTCGCAGCGTCTGTAGGCGCTTGGTTGGACCAAGGACCGCAATATCAAACTGTCGCACTTCTAGAACCTGCATATTGTACCTTTCTGCCAGTGTGACAGCTCAGCATGGTACCTTGCAGCATCAATGCAAGCTGTCGTGCATCATAGAACAAATAACATCTTCCAGGCACGCTCAGAGGGAAGCTGGGAGATGCAAATGTTCCCGAACGCTCGCATGTCGCGTGCAAGGGTTGTGGCGGTGCACGGCGAAGTTAAGGATTTCATTTGCATACAATTCATATGATTATCAGAGTGCTGACCACCCAAAAATGGTCAACCACTTCAGAAATTGTTAGCGGTTTCTGAAATGGTTCACCTAAACATGTAAACCTTTTCAGAAAAAAAAATGTGAGTTAACCATGAAAATATGGTCGACCATTTCGCAAAATAATCGCCACGAAAAAGTTAATTCTGACTCCCCCTATTTGTGCTGAAGTGCAATTTCGTCGGTAATATGCTTCCGACCCGGGAATCCCGAGTAACACGCGGCATTAAATAGTTCAAGCCTGGTGAGTCACCAGGCTTGAACTACAGGGGTCACCAGGTGACCTGTTTCATTTCGAAAATAAGGGGGCTACTATTCGGATGATTTTCTGTAGACGAACGTCTCAGGAAGGCCCATTCTTTTCGGACTACATTGTGACAGTCACACAATCAACCGACCTTCAAAGACGGCATCAACTGTCACTAATCCGCAACAGTATCCCATTACGCTCCACAAAAACCTGTGCGGATCTAGAACACACACATCAAGCGCTCATTCGTCAATTCTCCCTGAGCAGTTCAAGTCTCCCTTGTCCACAATGGACCAGACGCGCCCCCTCCGCTCGCACTCGTACTCCAATCTGGACGAGGTGACGTTTACACACCTCAACTGGGTCATCGCTCTGGACTTTGCAGCCCAGCAGCTCAAGGGATACGCCGAGTACACTTTCCACCACGCGTCGACCGCCACGTCTTCCGTTGTGGTGCTAGACACGCACCATTTGAACGTCTCTAAGGCCTATGCGGACGGCAAGGAGACGACCTTCACTCTGGCCGAGAAGGAGCACCCAGTGTTCGGCCGCGCACTCGTCGTATCCGTGCCAACCCACGCCACAAAGATCCGTGTGGATTACACCACGTCGACGGCCTCTAGTGGCCTGCAGTGGCTCAGCAAGGAGCTAACGGCGGGCAAGACGCACCCCTACCTCTTCACGCAGTGCCAGGCCATCCACGCACGCACTATCGTGCCGTGTCCGGACACGCCGGCCTGCAAATTCACGTACTCAGCCACCGTCACAGTGCCGGACTGGTGCACGTGTCTGATGAGCGCAATTGCGGACCCCCAGGGCCGTAAGAACCACAACAGTGTGGACTCCACCTACCAGGTCTCATTCCAGCAGTCAGTGCCCATTCCTTCCTATCTTCTGGCCATAGTGGCCGGCAAACTGGAGAGTGTGGACTTGGGTCCGCGTAGTCGCGTCTGGGCCGAGCCTACTGTGGTTACTAAAGCCGCGCATGAGTTTGCACAGACTGAGGCCTTTTTGCAGCATGCCGAGGAGATCACAGGCCAGGAATATGTGTGGAAGAGATACGATCTCGTGTGTCTACCGCCTTCCTTCCCGTACGGAGGCATGGAGAACCCGTGCTTGACGTTCGTGACCCCCACGCTACTGGCAGGAGACCGCTCGCTTGCTGACGTTGTGGCCCACGAGATCTCGCACTCGTGGACTGGAAACCTCGTGACGAACCGCTCGTGGACGGACTTCTGGCTCAATGAGGGCTGGACCATGTGGCTGGAACGGAAGATCCAGACGCGCATTGCGCAGGATCCCAAGGCTTACGACCTCAAGGCTGCAATGGGACTACGTGACCTGATCGAGTCGGTGGAGGAGTTCGGCCACACACATCCGTACACGGCGCTGGTGCCTAACACGGACGGCATCGACCCAGACGAGGTGTTTTCCTCGATCCCGTATGAAAAGGGCTTCAACTTCCTACACTATTTGTCAACGGTGGTTGGAGGCCACGAAGTGTTCGATAAGTTCGCCAAGGCTTACATCCAGGAGTTCAAGTTTAAAACACTCACTTCGAGTGAGTTCCGCGCCTTCTTTGAAAAGTACTTTGCTGACAAACAGGAGGCTCTACGTACGATCGACTGGGAGGCCTGGTACCACTCGCCTGGTATGCCTCCTGTGGCCAATAAGTTCGATACAACGTTGACCGGTCAAGCGACCAAATTGGGCGAGCAGATGACGTCCAGTAGCAACCCGGAAACGTGGACGAGTGTTGGTCAGGATGTACTGAAGAAGTGGCCAACAAGTCTGTGGATTCTTCTGCTCGACACGCTGCTACTGAAACAGGAACACGCGAGCTTCACGCCTGCTCATCTGGATGCCATCGACTCGTTCACGCACCACCATTTGACAACCACGAACAACTCGGAGCTGCGGTTCCGTTGGTACACCTTGTCGCTGCGTTCGGGCGACCTGCGTGTGCTTGACAGGGCTGTGGAGATGCTCAAAGAACAGGGTCGTATGAAGTTCGTGCGCCCGCTCTTCCGTGATTTGTGCACAGCTTTGGGTCCTGCTCAGGCTGAGGCAATCTTTGCGGACTGTAAACATTTGTACCACCCGATCGCCGCCAAGATGATCCAACGTGACATTGAGAACAGCATCGCCAAGGCTAAAGGCAGGAAGGTCAAGTTCGCTTCCCCGACGACTCCTAGTGCTCTGGCACAGTGGCTGGGAGTGTCGGACGAGGTCGTGACCTATGCCGCTGTGGCCGCTGCTGTCACTACGGTGGCGCTTATCGTTGTGTCTCGCCGACGGTAGACATACCGCATGATCCAGACCACAGCGTCAAGATACGAAACACACCAAAAAATCGGGTAAGTGTCGCCTAGCACAATTTGAATGAACAAACACGTTTGCGAATTAGGAGTTCGGTATCTGCGATTGTTCAATACTGGAATTGTCAACACTAGTAGGGCTTCTGTAGTATGTGTATCACTCAGGCTCAAGCGCAAGTCCAAAGCGCATGTTGTAACGGGGCCGACTGGAACGAAAACGCCTGGATTAATGAGCTAAGAAAGATGTCAGAACCAGGTACTGTCGTTCAGTGTCGGTAAAGCATTACTTAGTAAAGACTTTTCGAGCACCAAATTATACACTTCAGCTTTACTCCTGCTCACTACTTATTGTCGACCTCAGTCGGGTCCTTGTTGAGAATGAGATGTGCATTCCTCTGTCGTGTTTGCAGTTTGCCGGATACAATTACCTGAGAAGGATGGAAACAGGGAAACATCCTTGGGTTTACACCTGCGCAGCGAAGTACTATTTTGGCTTAGCTAAAGTTGGATGTAGCCGACCGAAATACACTTCAAATGTGGTCGCTAGTGAACAATTTGTGAAACGCTGGTTGCTGAAGCGGTAGGCCAACAATAGAAATCCGTTGCCAGGCCGAAACCAACGTAAGTGAAATCAAGCTAGCGGTTCAGCAATACTCTACTTGGTGGAAGACGTCGGACCACAACTTTACACTGCTCCCCCCAATAATGATTAGAAGTGGATTTTAGAGTCGTTATTATCACTAGCAGAATCACTAATATTACAGCATATTTCATGATGCACCATCAGTTCTCCAATTCACGGATCAAATGATAAGGAGTTTATTTCGAGCGAGTGCTTAGCACTGTAGTCCTCAGGTTTACGGCACGACCGTACTATTTGAAAAAGCACTCAGGGAGTGCCCTCTTTCTGGGGACTCGTTCGTTATTTGTACGTTGAGAAACTTATCAACGGGCTCTTCGTTTCGCCTTCTCCCACCAGTGGCTTTGGATGACCATTGTCCCACATGTGTTACCTGTAGCGACACAGTCACTCGTCCCTTGCTCTCCAAAGAAGCCGTGCATGTTCACTCGAATTCCGACCTCATTTTTCGTTCGTCCCAGCTTAGAACAAGTGTCATACCTTTTTTCTATCCGCCACCATGTCATCGCTCGATCATTTACTCTGCCCTGACACGACTGCGAGAAAACTAAGCAACCATAGCCTGCACTACTCAGATCCGTCCGACTTCAGGCTGTCGGATACCAGTTCAAAGCCGAATTCGAGGAGATGCTGCATTCCAGACTGTCAGAAGACAGCGAAGCGAGGTGGACGTTGCATCTCGCACGGTGGTGGCAACAAGTGCGCTGTAGATGGTTGTACTACAAGTGTAGTTAGTCGAGGACTATGTGTTGCACATGGAGGTGGCAAGCGATGTCAGACTCAAGGGTGTACGAAGAGTGCGCAGTCTGGGGGATTCTGCTGGGTTCATGGCGGAGGCAAGAAGTGCGGCTATCACGGTTGTTCCAAACGTGCACAGAGCGGTGGTGCCTGCATTGCTCATGGTAATTTATTTTTCACTTTTTTTTTACAGCTAATTCACCCTAATTCACCCTAAGCAAACCATATTTTCTCGTTTAGGTGGAGGCAAGCGGTGTCGTATCGACAGGTGCAACAAAGTTGTACAGTATGATGGTCTCTGTGTGGGCCACGGTGGCTATCGCAGATGTGTCTTCGAGAACTGCAATAAGCGCGCGATGGCTAATGATTTTTGCCAGCACCATGGTGGATCATCAGTTTGTCTCCTTGATCACTGTTTCAAGCGTGCTGTGCGTGGTGGAATGTGCTCTGAGCACAAAGCAGAAGCGTCAATGCAGTTAATGAACGGCAGTGGATTACCTGGAACGACCCATTCTGATGAAGACCGAGTGAATAAGTCTCAATGGCGAAATAAATTCCAAGAAGGTGAAGCCTCAAGGAAATCATCACCAACGCCTCGGACATCAAATGTACGGTCATATAAGGATATAGCGACGCGTTCTCCATCTCCTGTCAGATCTGTTCGTCAGCACCGAGACAATTTCCAAAGAGCCGACTCGCCCAAGGTTCCAGGATTCTCAGCACTTCTAAACGCCAACGATACGTTTCCTTCTTTCGCGTCGTCGTACACACGAAAACCCGATTTGTCCGAACCTTTTGTCCGACGCCAGCACCACCAAGAACACAAAGTTTTCCCTCTGCTACCAAGTATTCAATCCCTACCGAACTACCGCAGCAGAGTTTCATCCGTCGACAAGAGCCCTCACACGAGATTTGCAGACTCAGTAGCGACACCTGTGAGACCGGAGCTTCGAATTGTGGTCACAGAGGACAGAGATAGATCGCGGCGAGCACCCAGCACAGAAATTGAATATCGAGAAGAAGAAGACTACAAGTTGTACGTGCACTCCTATTACTACCAGAGAAATGAGGGGGCTTTACCGTGTTCCACACCATCAACTCGTCGGCATGCCTGGGGCAGATAAGTTATCGATTACCACTTATTTAAAATATCAGTATATTATAATACATAATTTCAAAGTCTCTTACGTTTTTTTTCATCACCAGCCCAGCAGACGTCTGAAGAAGGCATCGCCGATGTTATGGTGTTAAATATTCCTGTTGCTTTCGATCGGGCGAATTGCTTTTATTATGTCCTTCTTGATTTATTTCTTTCACTGTTCGCTACTGTACAAATGCCGACCAAAATAACAACTTGCTTTGCAACTACGTTTTGATTGGCTAATGTCAAATTATTAGTACTGTGGAAGATTATTACAGGCGAAGACTTGCATGGCCACCTTGCCTCCGGTCAGCACGCAGAGCAGTCAGGATGCTCGACACAGGGAGTTGCCTACCGTACACAGCGTAAATTTTATCTATCGCAGTATCACTAGTGTAACCCGAACGAATCAGTGTCGCCACGATATCCCAAAAGACCTTTCTCCGAGAAAATGCAAACTTGTTGGCACCTCGTTCGACCGGTGTAAAGTCCTTTGCTGGCTTGAGCCCACCATTACCAAACTGAAATTCGTGCCAGAGCTCGAACAAGTCCTTTGGTCGCTTTGATAACCGTGCAACTCTCTTTTCCGGATAAACTACCACATGTGAAGGCGCGTCTAAGCGGACTGCTGGCTGCATCATTACTCGCTTCAATATCGCCTGAATCTTTTGCAGTTCACGTTGATTTTCATGTCGAGACCGCTGCATCTCGCTCATAAGCTCTGACACTGAACGCTGTACGGCTGCATACTGCGAGTGAAGAGCAGCAAACTCTCGGCGAGAACCTTCTCCTCCTGTGCTGCTACCAGCAATAATTCCTCGACGATTAACGTCTGTTGCACTATCTTGAGTATCGATAGTGATGAGATTAAGTTGCGAGCCATCGCCCATGACAAAAAAAACCCACTCGGTCTATCGGATTTAGAGATTCACTCCCTCCCGAATTAACGTAAGCTCCAATAATTTTCTGCTTGAGTCGATCTGGAATGAGCTCGTATGTGTAGTTGTCAGAGGGTTCCATAGCTGCCCATAACAACGGCATCGCCAGTGTAGTTGCCACCGCCTCACCCATCACTTGTTTGATTGTAGGTGCTATCTGGTCAACTAATAGTGTTGGAGAAACACAGTCAATCCCATGTTTGCGTACGTAGAAACATGGACCTAGTGGTCCCGCCAGTGCTGCTGCGGTGCAGGCATCGGGGTATGGCTGCGTGTTGTCAATGTAGACGTCAACAACGCCTTTGCGTGTCCTCCAGCGACCACGGCGGTTAACAAAGACCTTTGACATTCCGCACCGAGAAGCATACGTTGCTGCACCCTTGCGAAAGCTGTGTGTTCCAAGTTTCCCTGTCTTCATATTCTTAAAAGCGGTGTTTGTAATGATGTCTCCCAGAAACCGACGCACCACGCGATTCCCATCCTTCGGGTGACCGTAGATGAACTCCGAGTTAGAAACATTCGTGCTCGTCTCAATGTAGACGGCCAAGTTGAGTAACGCACACATTTTTGGGTCCATACTGCCGAGTACAATCTGCTCAGGGGCGTCTCGTTCTTCATGTATGTTCTTCGACCATCGCATCTGGCACAATAGCGTGGAAGGGTACTGCCTATTCGGCACAAATTGGCAAACTGTAACTTCATCATGTCATCTATACGAGCCATAATGTGCCACTGCAAGGTAAGGACGCTGCTCACCATGTACGCCGTCTCACCCTTCCCCCATTTTGAGCGCACAAGAGA